ATGGTCATTTTTGGTAGGCTTTGACACTTTGGCAACATCATTCACCTTGTCTAGCAAGTATGCCTCCAAGAGTCGTGGTGACCAGCATTTCTGTCATCTTCTGGCTCAAGAAATTAGCCACCAAATTGTGTTTTCTAGGCTTGTGCTCCTACATGAAGTGATATTCAGGCCAAAAGTTCTTGGCATTGAGCCTGACTTGGTGATAACTTTTCTGGGTTTTGAAAAATGTGTTGGCTACATAACCTATTTTTTGTTTTAGATAAAAGAGAAGTATATTAATAGAAAGGCTCCAAAGGGGAGCCACCAAAATATATTTACATGTCGATGAGCATATCAATAATTGCTCCCATTGGCCACATAACCTATGTTCGCTAGAAACTCTGCGTCTAATAGGTAGACTCTTCATACTAAGAGGTAATGCTTCTTATATGCTGACTTCTGTTTCGTAAGATTCAGTTTCCGATTCTCAAGAGTGATGGGGTGCCCATCCTACACAAGGACACCTTTAATAGCTCTATCAGAGGCATATATGTAAATCTCAAAAGGCCTCTCAGAGTCTGGTAGACTTACAACCAGGCAGAGTGGTGCATGTTCTCTTGCAATCTCAAGTAACTTTTCTACTACTCAAGAATTGATTGTCTCAGATGAACCTATTTGAAACTTATGGATTATAGATTTAGGAGCCACATGTTATATGATCCATTCTTCACTAAATTTTAGCACTCATACGCTTTGTCCAAACAATCAAAATATAATTATTGCAGATAGTTCTCCATTGGTAGCTGGTGTAAGAGATATTCATATTAATCCATCATTTAAATTAAAAATGTGCTCCTTGTCCCCAACTTATTCACCAACCTTATATTCATACAAAAACTCATGTGAATTCTGATGTACTTTCCATTCATCAATTTGAGGGGCAATTTTTTTTAAAATAAAATTTGAGGGAAAATGTTAGAATATATATATATGTAATTATTTTGTAAAAAGGTTATTCTTAGTAAATATACCTATATAATTAAGTGTTTAGGTAGGATTAGGATTTCTTTTTCTTTTTCTCATGAAGTTGTATATACAGAGGCAAGTTATTCAATAAAAACAACATTCTATAATATTTCACGTCATGTTCTGTAATATTTTTCATTTAGTAAGAAATGACATCTAATTATCCTTCATATATGGTAGTAAATTACAAGTTGTTTGAATTCCTTGTGTATTTGTCATGGATTGGTTCTCTTATTATCGAGAGAAATATATGTTCGTTTCATTGGGATGTTTTAGTTCCTTCTACATACCATGATGCTTACTTTTTTAATTAGATTTGTTAGTTGTGAATAATTTTCTTTATTTATATGTTGCAGGGAGATTACTTTTACCTCCGCTGGAATTTTGGCGCAATCAAGTGGCAATTTATGATGTGGTTTGTGATATCTTTTTAGCAGATGTTGAATTTGTTTTTTCCACTTAGGCTTAGGATAAAATCTAACTTTTAAACATCAGAATCCTTTTCTTTGCACTGGTTTAACTTTATGTTTTGTCATCAATCTCTTTATTTGTGCTTGTAAAGAAAATGTTATGGGCCCTTAACAAAGGATACAGTTATGGTTTGGCGTTGAAAAAATTAAAGGCTTATTTAGAGACAACCATCCATCTCTAGCGGTAAGTGTTTCTTTGAGAGAAAACCCTTTGATCACTTTGATTAGAGAGAACTTATGAAGAGGAATCCCCTGATCTCTACCATTTAGGAGCATATGGTTGTAGTTGGTGGAGATGGGTCACCAAGGACTACACAACATTATGAACAACATCAGGTTCGAACTTGATTATGATAGAGATGTTAGTTTCTGGCAGGATCACTGGATTCCTATGAAGACACTCAATAATCTTCCCTTCCCTCAATGCAGTTAGATTCAAGGAGGTGACAGTTAACTATTGTTTTGAGGTGTATAGTGGTGGAATCTGGTGAAACGTTTTTCTCCTTTGAAGTCTTAATGATTGAGAGATTGACGGATGACATCTTTTCTCCTGATGTTGGAGAAATTCTCTAGCGTTCCAACCAAGGAAGACTCTCTGGTTTGCAAGATAGTTGAAATGGAAAGTTCTCAATCAAATCCTTCTATGCTTACGTGTAAGAGAACCAAATCTTGGATAAATTTCCTTAGAAACAATTTTGTTAAACTAATAGCTTCTTGCCACATGGCTTTCTTACTTGGTAGGCAGCTTGATGCCATATTTTAAGTTTGGTTAAGGTAATGAAAAGGGCCAAGCCACTTGCAAACAGATCCTTTATATGCATGAATGGCATGGAATCCCCTGGTAATCTACTTCTTAATGTATTGAGACTAGAAAACTGGGAATTCGGCTCTATCGCTTCTTAACCTCAGTCTGGTTGTGGGTGATTATGTAAAGGATGAGCAGTGGGCATGAAGTGGTGTTGCTACGTCAAAATCGAAAAAGAAGATTATTTCTATTATTCCTCTTTCTATTTTTTAGGTCGTTTTAAAAGAGAGAAACGAAGAGCCTTTGACAATTCCACCTATTTGTTTCACAAGATGAGAAATCATGTGTGATGTTTATGCATGACCATTTGGTGATTGTTGGGGTTGGCACTTCATGTTACAACATCATCTGACGATGTTGATTACAAATTGGTGATTCATGATTGTTATAGTGATTGGTTATGACTAATTTTGGCAAGATGGTGATGGTTTAGTGGTGTTGCTAGCGAGGGAGACTCATTTTGACAGTTAGATGTTGAGATTTGGTGGGGATGTTGGCTAGATTCTTTTGAGGTCGATGGTAGAGGTGGTGTCACTCACCTCTGAATGGTGGTTGGAGATCAGAGAAGGCTAACGAGTGTGAGCTGTTTTTTTGCATTTTCCCCTCAACTTGGGCTTGGTTTAATGCTTTTGTTGGGTTTTATTGTTTGTTTGTGATTTGGAAAATATGGTAAAGGTGAGAAGAATTTTGGCTCTAACAAGAAATTAATGTAGCATAGCATTATAGGGTTTCAAAAGAGAGAAAATAACATTAAAGAAAAATATTCAATCCACAATTACAAAGACTGGTAATAATCACAATTCCACCTATTTGTTTCACGAGATGAGAAATCATGCGTGATGTTTATGCATGACCATTTGGTGATTGTTGGGGTTGGCACTTCATGTTACAACATCATCTGACGATGTTGATTACAAATTGGTGATTCATGATTGTTATAGTGATTGGTTATGACTAATTTTGGCAAGATGGTGATGGTTTAGTGGTGCTGCCAGCGAGGGAGACCCATTTTGACAGTTAGATGTTGAGATTTGGTGGGGATGTTGGCTAGATTCTTTTGAGGTCGATGGTAGAGGTGGTGTCACTCACCTCTGAATGGTGGTTGGAGATCAGAGAAGGCCAACGAGTGTGACCTGTTTTTTTGCATTTTCCCCTCAACTTGGGCTTGGTTTAATGCTTTTGTTGGGTTTTATTGTTTGTTTGTGATTTGGAAAATATGGTAAAGGTGAGAAGAATTTTGGCCCTAACAAGAAATTAATGTAGCATAGCATTATAAGGTTTCAAAAGAGAGAAAATAACATTAAAGAAAAATATTCAATCCACAATTACAAAGACTGGTAATAATCACAATCACAAGGTTATCATAACTAGAATCACAAGGTTGATAGACAGTAAATTCAATGAGAGCAATCAGTTGTTCTTATTCATAAGTGGTATTCCTATGTAATGATGAAATATCCATTTTCTTAAGTAGCACAGACCATATAGAATGGGGGTGGAAGGATTTTTCTCCCCTGGAACGGTGGGCTTGATTTTATTTTTCTTTTTTACTACCATATAAATCTTGTAAGTTTATTGTTAATAAAGCAAAATTAATGCAAATGAACTTACTCTTTCTCAACGTATTGATGTAGTTTTGAGCTTAAAATTAAATTTCTAATCAAGTTTTCATCGATATCAAATAAACTAAGAATGTACACAAAAAGTTATTGGTCATTGTCTAATATATTACCACAAGCTATTTTCTTATTTTCCTGTAGAAGTCAAATTTATTTAGTAAATTAAACTCAAAACTAATAGAAGGATAATTTTTTTTTGCTTTTTAAAGTTATCTAAATGTAAATCTTTTACGCATACACATACACATATAGAACACATTCATGGTGACGTTTCTCTATATCTAGTGCAAACTTCCTCTGGAGCCTTGAGAATCATGATCCCCTTTGGTCGACCCTCTTCTAGAGCTCTGTCACTGCTTACAAACACGAACCTGTAGTAGTTCTTTCATCCTATGTGATGAGACAATAAACATTCCTTTCCATTTTCAGGCACGTTGTATCACTGGAATTCAAGATGATGGGAGCACTGGAAAACAATCTAGAGGTTTGCTTTCTTCTGAACTGTGACTGAACCAATGAATTTATCATTGAACATAACAAGGAGGTATTACTTCCTCGTTGTTTGATGCAGACCTGTCTTATATGCAACCTTCTAAGTTCTTTTTTGTTTTTATTTTTTGGATAAAACCTTGAGTTTTTTTCCTACTTATTTCCATTTAAATAATGATGCTTACAGCCATGATAAGAATGAATTGTCTCAAAAAATTATTTGGCTTAAAAAAAACAAGGAACTTCATTTACATATTTGTTATATTTCTGATCCAAAATCTGAAACAAAATTAGTTCCATCAAGTATGATTCCTTTCGGCTTATATATGTTTTAAAGTTTAACCATGCAGGGCCCATCAACAGATATCTTTGTGTTCTAGTGAAGCATATCTTCTATATCATTAAGTTATTACCGGAGTTTCTAATATTCTTATGTCTTTCTAGTTGGTTGGTTTGAGTAACTATTGCGGATTAATTGAATGAAAAAGAAATAACTGCTCTCGTGATGCCTTGTATCTCATTTTATCATCAGGGAGTACACCTGCATCACAGAAAAGGCGAAGATAGTTCTTGTAAGTTTCTGGAAGAGCTTTGGCATTTACAGTTAAATTGAGGAGCATAAGGTAAATCTAAAGAGTAAATTGGAAAACAGAAAATCAAGTGATAAATTGTCAGGTGTACGGTACGTTTGGTTTAGATTTCAGAGGGTTGATTTGAAGATGGACCCCATATTGGGGATTTGGATATCTAATTGTACCACAAATCTAACTGAGCCAAATTATTATGTTTCCTCCTTGGTTGATATGAATATTGCTTGTAGCTATTCGGTTTGAAGTCTTGAATCAAGTTTTTCATCTTTTGAGTTTTGGCTCATTTAAAGAAACAGAAAGTTCCGGTTTCATCCAAAAGAACATTGTAAAAGCAAAATATCATTGATATCAAGCTCAAGCATGAGTTGAAGCTTGAATAAACTCAAAACAGACTTAAACTCGATTAAGTTTGATAAAGAACTTTTTTTTAAAGATATTTGTTAAATAAAAGAAGTATATAGTATTTATCATTATTTCAATATATAGAAGTATGTAACTATACGATCTGATTAATATAAAATAGTATTATATTTAAAAATATAGAATATACTACATATTTTAATTACTAACTTCATTCAAATTAGTGATAGATAAGTAAATGTGTTTCTGAGCATTTGATCCAGAAGTTTTGGGTTTAAGTTTGAGTCGTTTAGTTGAGCAAGCTTCTTTTTTGACTCAAGTTCAATTCTGGTGAAACTCTGAGCTGATTTCAATTTAACTGAGTTGAGCCTAAACTTTTTATGAAGTTTGGCTTATCCCTGCGCATATAGGTTTTGAGTAATGCAAGTATATATTCATTTAGTTTGTTATAGTTCCTTAAATTAGAGTTTGCCTTTGAGTAGCATTTAGTTTGTTATTGACGATTGTTATCAAATCTAATGCATCTGGCATTAAGCTGCTCTAATGCTTGGGGAACTGTCAGTGGACACTTGAGATGATCTTGGTATGTTGTCTGATATTTGATAATCTTACTGATCTGTGTTTCCCTGAAAATGTAGCATGTTGGAATAAATAGGTAAAATGTTAATCAGTACAAGAGATTTCGATGTGTCAATACAGATGATACATAAATTCAGTACAAATGATACATTAATGATATACAGCGGCTAATAATTGATACAAGGGATAAGGTCATTCTGGTATTCTGGCATAATTTTAATTTAAGCCTTTTCTTTTGGAGGTGCAGGTTCATACAAATGAGGTGCTGACTATTAATGTTCAATTCGGAAGTTGGACTGAAATGTATAGAGACAATGGTTCTGTGCCTTTGCTTGTTACATTGTCAAGCAGTGTGTAGGTAATCGAATTATAGATCTTAGAATCTTGTTCTTTTTCCTTTTTCGGTGTTGTAGTAATATCTGGTTAATTAGATATCGTGTTCAACAATGCTGTTTATTTGGAATGCATATGCATTCATCGGAAGCGAAACAGCCACAAATGGTTTAACTTTTGCAGGGGTTTAATTTTTTGGTTAGGTAGTTTGATAATATTTGGAACGTATTGTAACATTGAAATTGTTGTATTTTGTGATGAAAAAGACAGATGTATCTGATGTTTATTTAATGTAACATACCCTTAATATATATATATATATAAGTTGTATATATAATGGATGCTATACTTACGTAAACTGTTTATCTTCTTCATGTTTAAAACAAAATAACTTCACACACACAGAAGTGTAAGATGCTTTCAACTAATCAAGCACGACAAGCTTGCTGTATTCAGGTCCAGAGATGGCAGTTTCCATGAAAATCTCTGGATCCATTTTGCCATCAACATCCAGAAACACCTTTATCAAGTTCTTGGAAAACCCACTAACCAGCGCCACTCCTTTCTCCGATGCCGGCACCGGTGTTGCCTTTGAATCCCTCAAGTTCCAAAACACTATTTCCGGCACCACATCGCCATACCCTTTCTCCCTGTACTTCCTTACTATGGCCTGGTAATCCGTCTCCCAACTATTCGCTGATGCCTTGTCAAACTCCATGTCGCTGAACACGAACACTCTCTTTATCATCTTCTCCGGCTTCAACTTCCCATTCTCTGCAACTTGCAGGATTAGATCGAACACCTTTTGGAAATCAGTGTTCATGCCCCACTCCATCCTCCTTATCCACAGGGTTTTTGATAAGAGATTGTCTCCTTCCACCACCTGCAGCTTTGGGTTTGCGCTGAAAGTAATCAACCTTCCCTTCCATGGCTCCTGACTCAACTCCGATATCAACAACCCTAGTGCTACTGAAACCTCCATTGGCGTCCCCGACATGCTACCCGACACGTCGGATACTGCAATGCAGTCACTCAACTTTCCTTTCTTCAGCAGGTCATCCACCATTCTCCTCCATTGAAGCTCTGCTACTTGTCCCCCGTCGTCATCGTCCAAGCCTGCAATTATTTCGTGTGGTAACAAAGCACCAGCTGCTATCTTTGCTTTTCCACTTTTCACATCTTGGAGGTACTGGGAGAACCGCTCGCCGTCATGCTTCAAGAACTTTTCCTTGTAAAACTTCATGGCTACAGAGGCTACTCTGTTGTACGGAATTGAACTCCATTTGTTTGCTCCTATGTACACCTCGGGCAGCTCCAGCGCTTTTCGAAGAGGAACCAGCACTTGTTTCCTCAACCGATCGCGAACTCTGTACGCGTAATGTGCCTCTTCGATCATTTGGTATTCGAGGTAGGATTCGCGAGGGAATACTTTCTTGGCGATGCTCTCGCAGATCAACGTTGACCGATCAAACGAGGAGTCAACGGAAGGGCACCACTTAGCGGCAAGGCTCACTCTATTGACCTCGCCGGAATCCAAGAATTGCAAATCGGATTTGAGATATTCGGCGAAAAGATCCGAGACGCGATCGTACAAGAATCTGAAATCAGGGTCATGCGAGTATCTCTCAATGACATTTTTAGCCATGGCAAGTCTCTTCTCTTTCCTTAGGGAGCTGGCTTTCTCTTTCTCCATGGCGTCCCTTTGTTTAGCTCTCTGTATTCTAGCGTCTCTAGTAATGGCGGGCTTCTTCTCTCTTTTTCCTTTCCTTTTCTTACCTTTGAAAGGAAATACTCCCACCCGCCTTCGACACCTCCTTGGACCCTTTTTCCTCTGCATCCACTCAGCTTTCTGGACCCGCCTTACATCGGGTCCTTGCAGAAGGCGGTAAAGGATCTCAGGCAAGTCCTTGAAGTAGCCGAAATTAGCGAAAGAATCGAGGTTGCAGGCTAGGGTTTTGGGATGGAGGCAGTGGAGCCAAGCGCGGCGGTGTAGAAGCTCTCTTTATCAGATTTTCCAGTACCACGAACTCCTCTGAGATTACATATTAGCTTGAGGGTGGTCAAAGGGTTATGAGCCCAGGCCAGTTGGAGCCTTTGGGTTAGGGATTCAGGTGGTGTACTGGGTACGACATGGAAGAAGAAATCGAGACATGGGTTTCCGGAGCTAAGAAATGTAGGAGATGAATTCTCTGTAAAACCTATTGCAGGTGGTGGGGGAGACACCTTTGTTTGGTTGAAATTTGCCACCGTTAGATTCATGAATGAATCGCCATCGACGGTAGATGATGAATTAGGGATTGGGTTTTGAAGCTCTGGTGGACCAAGAAGAGTAGGAGAAGCCATCGTTGTAACTTGTCTTGAAACTTTTGCAGGTTGCTTGGCTACTTGATGTTTCAAGAGTTGTGAGGTTGAAGACGAAGATGCTGGAATTTTATAGTGATTTGATTCCTTGATCACTAAGTTTACGCCTTGCGAACCACGTTTTGATTTTTTTAATCGTTGACTGACGATTATATGTATGTTAGTTTGGCCATTGTTGCAGGTGATTGAATTTTATAACAGCAACGAAACTGCAGATGAAGAAACATAAAGCTATAAATAAATCCCAAATCTGGTAAAAGGTTCCATCAAATTCTTTTCCAACTCATCATCACATTCGATCATTCATATACAAGACACTACGAGAATTCTTTCACAAACTTTTTACTATTTTTTTAAAAACTCTAACAAATTTGGTAAAATTTTCACAGGTTTCTCCCTCCCACCTCTTGGAGCTCATAGCAACCTTCTCTCCTCGGCTTCTCACTTTGCGAGTTCCCCTCTCGGCCTCTCTCTGCTTGGATTTCCCCCTACTTTCACAGCTTCGGGCTCTGCAGAGGAGGGAGACAATTTTGATCAATACTTGGCGCTAGAAATCCTCTGAGAATCATCTTCTTATCCACTTTTCTTCTTTCCTTCTTCTTCCACTTTCGTGCGCCACCGTCAGATTTCATCTTCCCGTTTTCGGAAAACTAAACTATTTCATTTATATCTAATGTAGAATTAGCTATATATCTGAGAATACTTGTGTTATCATGTATTAATTATATTAAATTTATATATCTATATTTTATAAAACTATTTTATTATGTTGAAAGATATTTAATTTAGATAATATAAAATTTTCATAAAAAAGTTGATCTACTTCAAATAAAAAATCTCATTGTGTTTTTATAGTATATACTGTATATTTTTTGTATCTTTTTCAGCAGAAATATGGACATGAGATGGAGTTCATCATAATAGACCATAAGATAGAACGAAAGAGCAGGAAGGTTGTCCATATTTTTTTATGTAGTCAAGTATCTGCAGCCAACAAGAGTTGGGAAAGGATTGCAGACTAGCTAAAATTTGAGAAGCATGTTGGAGAGTATACAAACTCTTTGCTATGGACATGAGGTGCAGTTCATCATAGACCACAAGATAGAAGGCAAGAGCAAGAATGTTGTCTATATTTTCTATGTAGTCAAGCAAAAGGGATTATCTGCAGCCAACAACAGCTAGGAGAGGGCTACAGACTTGCGGAAATTTGAGAAGCATCTTAGAAAACACAAAGACTCTTTTCTCTGAGGGCACCGACTTTTTCTAGTGGCGGTAATTTGTCAGACCCCTGATCTTTGATAGTTACGGTGTATACCTAGCTATTCTTAGTAGCTTGCAAGATAGCAACGTATTGCAAGCAATGCTGAGGGTGCAGAGCTCACGGGTAATGAACAGGCGCATTGAAGGATATTGCAGCAACAGCATGTTATGTATTGTGAGCACTCCGTAAGCAGGAAGTATGAGCGGGCACGTCTTGAGTTGCTGAGACAAGCAGGCACACTGAGCAATGGCGGACACTGAAGGGTGTGTAGCATCCGGTGGTAACAGATGAGTGTCTCATGTGTCTGGAACATGGCCAAAAACGCACATGAGGAACAAGACCAGCAATGCGGAGACACTTGTAGCGCACAGCACGCGGAGAGCTGCATGCATTTACTAGTTGTCCAAGGTGGGCGCAGGAGTTCAATGCATCCCATATGACTTGAATGTCTATAGAACTCTAGATTTAGTTAAAGATAATATTTTATATGTGAATCCGTTTAATATGATTTATCAGAAGTTAATTTAATATAATTTTTTTGCTCATTAAAAATGCAAGTTGATTTCAAGTCAGTAGAAAAAAAAAAAGAGCGGGTCAAAATGGATTCAGAGTTACCCTTCCAAACTCGACCAGCCATATATACTTTTTTTAATTGGATCACACCAAGCTATTTTTAGTAGTTACTTGACGCAAGTTATTGGCTCCTGCTGGATATGATTTTCTGGCCAAATAACACGGGGGTTTCGGTTGCGAAATAAGCACAAAGAATGATGTTCTGGCCAAATACCATGTGTTCCGCATTAAATTCTCATCTCTTCCCAGCTTTCTATAGAAATCCAAAATTATTTCATTTCTGATCCTTGTGTAGTGAAGGAATCTAAGATTCTGATCTGATGGATAATCATGGAAAGCATCGGCTCTATTTATGCATCCACATTTAACCTCCAACTAATTCACTTCTCCTGCCCTCCTAGTATTGCCACCAGGCAATATAATTGAAGGGGTTGGACAAACTAGAAAAATAACAATGAAACTAGAGAAAGATTTAACATTGCAAGCAAAAGAAGTTTTAAGTCTGCAAAATTAGAAAAGTCATGGAATCTATTGATTGGTTTTCCTTCACTAAAGCCCTAGCATGCAGTATGTTCATAAAAGTACATGTACAAAGGATGAAAGTTATCAGAGACACCAAGTTCTGCAGCAGATGATAAGCTGAATAAAGATTTCTTCAGTTTGTTTCCATTGCTTCTTTGTGATATTTATCTAAATCAGCATCAAGATTTTCGACCGGAATTTTCTCACCATGACCTCTAACCTGCAACCCCTCCTGGTCCCGTGGCCACTAACACGAGACTGTCCAATTCCATTACCTCTACCTCAATCTCAGTTACAATGCATAGTGGAATATGTTTAGTGATCTACCAATGAATCAAGTAACAGTTTGCAAAGCAAAAAAATGCGTAACAGTATCCTATCACTCAATAAAATATTTTTTATTTTATTTGGCATATTCAATTAACTACATTTCTTTTTGCAGATGGTTTACTCTGAGAAAATTTATTAAGTGATAGAGTACTGTTACCCATTTTTTTGTTTTACAAACTGTTACTTAGTCTATTAGACCAGGAGGGGTCGTCAGCTTATCATCTGCTGTAGAACTTGGTGTCTCTGATAACTTTCAACCTTTGTACATCTACTTTTACGAACATGCCGCATGCTAGGCTTTTAGTGAAGGAAAACAGTCAATAGAATCCATGACTTCTAATTTTGGAGACTCGAGACTTCTTTTACTTGCAATGTTAAATCTTTCTCTTGTTTCATTATTATTTTTCTAGTTTGTCCAATCCCTTCAATTCTATTGCCTGATGGCAATACTAGGAGCGCAGGAGAAGTGAATTATTGGAGGTTAAATGTGGATGCAGAAATAGAGCTGATGCTTTCCATGATCATCCATCCGATCAGAATCTTAGACCCCTCTGCTACACAAGGATCAGAAATGAAATAATTTTGACCTTCCACTCCGATCATAATGAACTGCATAGCGTTTTAAGTCACCAACCTCTGAAAAGAGCTCCTGCATAGGCAAACAATTATGACTTAACTAATAATCTCTCACAAAGAAAAACAAGCCACCCACAAACAGGCCTGCATGATAAACACCAAACTGCACTAAGCATCAATGACTGGAAATATATTTTATGGTCGAAATGAAATAGAAATAACATCGAGATCAGAAAATTGGAAGAACCATTGAATTTAGAAAATGTCAAGACAAGATCATCATGGCTCATTGTTACGAAAGCAAAGAATCTTTTAATACCAAGATAGGTAGAGAAACTTTAATACCAAGATAGGTAGAGAAATGAAATCGTCATCATCAGTAATACCTTCAAACTGTGAATCAGTTTATCATTTTATTGCTCTTCTTCTTCCCTCCTCTCCATTTTATCTGCAGACAGAGAGGATCCACGGATAAACTTTCTTTTCTTCTGTACCTTATTCATTAGATGAATATACCTATGGCGCATGCCCATCACCGGATGCTTCTCCAACAAGAAATCCTTCCTATAAGCCTCTCTAAGCACAACAGTCTGAGTTCTAATCTTATTCGAAATATAAAAAATCCCTGGATGATGCTTCAGAATCTTTTCAAATCTTTTCCCAAACCCTAAATACTCTCCCAAGCGAACCAAGTTCTGTTTCTCCGTCTTCTTTGACACCAACAGCCAAAGCAACTCATGAAGCACTGCAACACTCCATTTTTCTGCCTGATCACTAACAGGCCCCAGATGAAATGCATTCTCGTAAGGCGAAATGTACGGCAAATCTTGCCACTGCTCAACCCAACACCTCACCTTCTTCTCCAACTCGAACCCTTTTGGTAAATTCATCGAAAACCTTATGGGCAAACCTTTTGCGCCTCTGTTTTCCATTTCAGACACTGCAAAATCGTCCTTCCACGAAATAATTTCTAACCCAAGCGTGATTTTTCCGCTCAAACAATCTCTAACCTCACAAACCTGAAAATAATCGGGATAATCGGAGAGAAGGCGAGTTACGTAATGATGAGAGAGACTAGATCAAATCTGAATCTATCCACAATATGCAGAGGCAGTTTGGTAGCTCTGGTGAGCATCAAGAACTTGGCGAGTCTTTTGACGGCGTCGTTTCTGTGAAGAGTGAGGCTGTGAATGGCTTGTTCTTCTTTGTGGATAGATACAGCCATGGGGGTGAGCTTGACGTGGAGAGGGAGAGAGGGAGTGGGTTGAAATTGGGAGAAAATGGAGGGGTAAGTTTGCAGAAATCGGGAGGTAGAGGTGGGAAGATTGAAGTGAGGTTTGAGAAGGGAGAGGGAGGAGAGAGGTAGAGATTTGGAAGGAGAAGAGAAGATTTGATTGATGAAGGAGAGAACTTGTTGCAGATTTTTCTCTCTTTGAACTACATTGTCGAGATGATCATCACGAACCCATTTCACCTTAGCGTCTATGAAGGTTCGAGTTTGGTTCAGACGGTATAGGAGCTTGTTGCAGACTGTCGACAGCCATGGATTCATCTCCTATAAACAAGGATGGAGGCAAGCTGCGCATAAATATTAAGGATTTGAGTCAAATCATTCTGCGCATAAATATGAACAGCGTAATTTCACAAATATTAGGTTGCAGGTTGATAGTAAATTCATATGTAGTAATTATCTCGTAGATTTATTTTTTTAGAATTATACAACATCTAAATGATTTACATGGTAGGTGTATGAACCCACATATGCATTCTAGAAATACAAGCAATTTAGTCTTATAGCTTTATCTAGTAATAATCTAGAAAGAAATTTACTGCGCGAGAAGAAACAACAAATAAAATTTTATTCAACATAATAATTATCTAAATCTTATAATTTTTTTAATAAAAATATAAAGATTCTGAATACAAACAGAAAAGAATGAAATAAAAAATACAAAACATGCACGAATTGCACCAAGAGAATTACGAAAATGTCTACATAAAATTCAAACACGAAGGGTCTTTAATAATTTTAAAATCTTAGTTAACCAAACACTTCTTTTTTCATCTTTATTCAATGAATTTAGAAATTTTTTTCTATAATCTTTTGGGCTTCTATAGAAGATTAACTATCTATTTACTTATATATGCATATCTTTTATTTCTATATAAATCATCTATCTTCATATATATATAATTAATGAATTATTTTTAATATATTGTTACTATCTCTTTTAAATTTCTATCTATATATCTCTCAATATTTATATTTTTTCTCTGATTTTTTTTTTCTTTCTCTTAGTATTCTCACTCTGTCTTTCTTAAATTCTTTTATTTATCATCTCGTTCTTCATTCCTTGATTTCAAACTCAAATATAACTTTCATAAATTATGATTACGTACCCGGGTCATGATAAATATATACGAAATTTTTCGATGATGCATAATTAAATTGAGAGGTCCCACCCAACTATATTGGACTCTGACGAAATTATCTAACTTAATTTATTTTGTGTTCACTATTGCATATATTTTAATTGAATAAATATTTTTTCTTTAAGTGTACAAAAAAAATTTATAATAATTTTTTATTAGATACGATATTTATAATATGAAAATATCCAATATTTCCCTTACCATCATAATATGATATCTATTTTCAATGAATATTTTTTAAAATATAATAAATTTTCTGAAATTTATAAAATAACAATATATCAATAAAATGTTTATTTCTTAAGGTGGTAATATATTTAGATAGTTGTCATACAGAATTTTCTTAAAAGTTTGTATAGTCTAAAAAGATTTTTTTTCAAATATAATATTTTTTAAAATCTAAGTTGTCTACAATTTATGATAATAGTACTAAAATTAAATCACATGCATTGGATATGAAAAACTACAAAATTTGGAACAATTCATAAAAGATACATAAAACCCACAGTGACTGCCGCATGATTTCAATCAGATATCATTATTTGACAATCAACAAGCATTAGTATTCAAATCATCATTTCTTTGCTCAGCTTTGTCATTTCTCATTTACCAAAAGAATTTATATCGAGATTGTCGTTATGACAGATGCTACATTCGTTTAAGCTAAGCATTCGCATTGTAATAAATAACTAAATAATTGGACATGCTCATTGTGAAAATTCAGGATTTAAATCTAAATTATCGGAATAAACAATCGCTTGTTTCCTTCAAGGCAGTATGATAAGAATCTCTTTTGTGCTGCTATATGAGGATGAATGACTTTTGAGGATACACAGAAGGCCTGCTAGCATAAAACCAAACCACAGAAGCTGCTGCTACCGTCTTTCTAGCAATCTTATTCAGTTACTGCAAAATGACAGCGTTAGCATATACCGGAGTTCGTGAAGGATCCTTTGGCTGACAATTCAGAAATTTCAACTGAGTATCATCAGTCTCCAAAATGCATTAACATCCATATGAACATTCAAATTTTTGCTATCCTAAGTCTGGTCTTCATTGCTTGTCAAAGTCCTGTTGCTGATGGTAGCTTTGGAAGAAACCCGTCACTCGGATTCCTCTACCTACATACACGGTAAAATGTCAAAGATCTGCCATCCATAAAAAATCCTGATAAACCAGCGTTCTATTGAGGCCAAGAGAACCAAGAGAATTTAAACTGATTACGCCCGCATCTTCCGTTTAAACTCATCATAACAAAAACACTATAAATCACAGCATTTGTTTGCTGGATGATATTTTGATGAAAAAATAAATAACATACCTTGATTTCATTTCTGATCCTTGTGTAGCAGGAGAATCTAAGATTCTGATTTGATGGATAATCATAGAAAGCGTCACCTCCACTTCTGCATCCACATTCAACCTTCAACTAATTCCCTTCTCCAGCCTTCCTAGTTTTGCCATCAGGCAATAGAATTGAAGGGATTGACAAAAATAGAAAAATCACAATGAAACAAGACAAAGTCATAGAAAAATCACAATAGAAGACTCAAGCCTCCAAATTAGAAAAGTCATGGAATCTATTGACTGCTTTTCCTTTGCTAAAATGCCTCGCATGATTAATATTCATAAAAGTACATGTACAAAGGTTGAAGGTTATCAAAGACACCAAGTTCTGCAGCAGATGATAAGCCGAATAAAGATTTCTTCAGTTTGTTTCCATTGCTTCTTTGTGATATTTATCTAAATCAGCATCAAGATCTTCGGCAGAAATTTTTTCACCATAACCTCTGACCTGACGACCCCTCCTGGTTCCACGGCCACTAACACGAGGCTGCCCCATTCCATTACCTCTACCTCGACCTCTGTCATAATGCATAGTGAAATATGTTTAGTGATCCACCAATGGACCAGGTAACAGCTTGCGAAGTGAAAAAAATGCATTAGTACCCAATCACTCAATAAAGTTTCTGAGAGTATACAGGAAGTCATAATCTGTACATTAAAAAAAAATTCGCATGGTATTTTCTCTTTTTTTTTTGAAATGTTTTCTTATATTTTAAATAATTTTAAAACATAATGATACAATTAATATGACAATATATATTTTAAAATAGAGTTTCATTTTTAGTTGATTACAAAAAGTTTTAGTTAAAATGAGAATAAATATATATAAATAATAGACAAATTAGAATTAAATGGATAACATTATCATGCAGATCTTCCACTAAGAAATAAGGTAAGACAATTCTTTTACATTTTATTAGAATTCCTTTTACTTTATAGAACTTTTGTGTATGTGAATTAATACTTACATTATTTTTTACATATTTACCAAAAACCCTTCAATGCTAGTTTCATATAATAATAAGAGTTAGCACGCTCTAGTTCCCTCCTAGTCACCCCAAAGATTTTTTTCCAGTAACCTGGCAATACCAGAAGTAAAGAATGGAAAAATGTATTAATCAAGGTAACCGGCTAGTGGCTCCGTCCTAAATGTTTCCTCTTCAAAGAGAGAATACAAGAAGTGAAGATCGAACAAAACTCATTGCATAACCCACAGAACATTCATAGAACTCCTAGAGAATATATGGATGTGAAGCCATTATGAAACTACTGAGTCAAGTATTGACCAGAGAGAAAATTATTAAGTTTTATTAGCCTACAAAGGGAAAATCCATCTTCAAAAAGGAAATGTATTTAATTGAAATTGCCAAATAAAAAAAAACAATTGACATAAATCAAAGAGAACATAAAATTAAATGTCAAAAGTAAAACAAAAAACATAACAAAAGTCGAATAGTACAACACTAACCTTCTAGCAGCTCCATATCGATTTACATACATTCCATTTGTAGCTGAAGGCAGAACAGAGTGTGCCATGATATTTGGTCCGACAATATCGATTTTCATAGGCTTTCCATCTAGTTGAACATTATCATATCTCTTGACAGCAGCCAGAGCTTCACTCCACCTTGAGAAGACAACTTCAGCTGTTCCCTGAGAAAAACAAGTTTCCTTAGTTACAATGAGAATTGATTGTGGGTCGGCTGGGTAAGAAAATTTCAGAGAATACCTTTGACCTTCCACTCCGATCATAATGAATTGCATACCGCTTTAGGTCACCAATCTCTGAAAAGAGCTCCTGCATAGGCAAACAATTATGATTTAACTAATAATCTCTCACATAGAAAACAAGTCAGCTACAAAAAGGCCTGCATGATAAACACCAACGTGCACTAAGCACAATGACTAGAAACATATTTATGGTCAAAGTGAAACAGAAATAAACATTGATATCAGAAAATTAAACATAATTGGAAATGAAGCTAAAATTGAGAAAAAAAAAATCCCCAATAACAAAGGAATTGTCCACATTACCTTCATTGTCCTAATCTTTCATGTGGGGATAAAAAGACCAAGTACTCTCATTATAATTAAAAATCCCACTAAAAAAAGAATTTTCCAGATTACCTTCATTGTCCTAATCTTCCATGTCAGGAAAAGAAAAAGATCATGCGATCGTGCTATAATTACAAAAGGCTATTTAGCAGAAACATCTCCCCTTGAGAATGAAGAACATCATCACCCCCAACTTGTACTAACTGTTCTGAACAGCTCATAAGTGGCTTTTGGGTTCAATTTAGCATAGTAAAGTTAATTACTAGAATATCCTTGATAAGTAGAGTTACCTAGTATGTTGAATTAATTCTACTATTATCTTTGGAATTTAAGACATATTTTCAGCTCATACTAGACTAGGTTGGAATTAAACTCTCTCTCAAGAATTCAAGTTTGAAGTGCTACAGCTTCAAAAAAAAAAATTAAAATCAAATTTATATAAATAAAAAATATTCTACCAATTCAGTAAAAGAATTAAGAATAATATTAAACTTAAATGGACCCTAAGGGAGCTAGTGAATATGGAAATCTCAAGACAGATGTTAGAACTTCCTCATTGTCAAAAAAGCTCATTCTCACAGAAAAAGGTTACATCAGTTAACTTGTAATCGAACCCAGTGGTAGCATAATTCCTGAGATGCTACAGTTGAACAAGATGTTAATCACCAAGCCATCCAGTGGACTACTAAGTACTTCCAAAATACTACAGTAATACTCCTTGTACCATGACATTTTACCACAACAGACCTCCTGTTTCACTAAAACCTTAACCTATCATACATAATCAGAACATTCACGAGCCGAACTAGTCGCACTATTCTAATAAAGCTTCTTTAAATATTCACTAAACACAATCGGCCAAACAAATAAAAGCCAAAAGCCGCCACCCTTAGATTGAATTCACTAATCTAATCACGTATATGACAAAGAAAACATAGCATCCTATGTTTAAAATATTCAACTAAGAACTAACCTTGATGTCTTCATTCGAAACCCCATAATCCAAATTGGAAATATAAAGCTTAGTCCCGCTCTCTATCGAGGAAGGCCCACCTACTCGTGCCATGAAACCCCCCGCATCTTCCATGAACGTGTCGTACTGCCAACCAGCATAGGGCGCTTGAACCGGCTGCATTCACGCGAACACACAGCAAACATCCTTACTTACAATGAAAGCTAAATCAATCAACCTATATGTCAATAAAGATAACAATAATAGCACTTCTTACATACGGAGCCGTTCGATAAGCGGCGCGGTTAGAGAAGCGATGAGAAGGGCCTGTAACCGAGCCGCGAGAACCCCTACCCCGCATATTGGAACCGTCGGACTTCTTACTTGAGTTGATGATATCGTCGAGGGACATGTCCAAGCGATTCGCCATTTTCCAAACACCACACTCCTTAAACAGTGAACTGTGGTGCCAAGAGCGGTGCAGGTATGGGGTTATAGATTCTTGAGGGAGCGGAAGATAGAGGGTTGGGGTTTGGGGAAAGATGGAAGGTCGAGGTTTTGTACTTCCGCTGGCTGCGAAGAAAACGGAAAGAGGGTTTAACAAATGGATCTTTTTTCCCCGTTAATTTTATATCTTATAATTTAATTTTCAAATTTTAACTAAATAATCTATTTCTTTTAGTGGGAAAAATAAAAATTATTTTGAAGTATTTTATTTTTTTTATGATACTAATGTGACATATATGTGTAATATTTTTTTATTTATTTTAATTTTTAAAAAATAAGAAAATTAAATATTAAACTAAAAGGCAAAGAAAAAATATATAATGAAAAAGAAGAGGAGATTATGGCTTCATGAATTTTGTTGGCACAAAATTGAGCGAGAGATGAGAGACGAATTGATTGGTTCTTAAAACCGAGATTTGCGGTGATGAAAGATGCTCTTTTCGATTTGATAAAGTTTAAAGTTAAAAAATATAGTTTAGATGAACATAGATTTCTTTTTTTTTTTTTAACTTTAGAAATTAAATTATGAGAGAGAAGATTGATTTAAGAGGTTGGGAGATTTTTTTTTTTTTAGAGTTAAGAAACTGAGAGAATCGAGTGATAAATAGAGAAAAGAGTTTAGAATTTTAAGTCAATAATTTTTATAAATTGTTTTAAAAGCTAGAGTTAGAGAATAACTTTTTGAAATTTGTTTAGAATTTGAAAGTAGTCCAGATTTAGTTTCAGATGAAAAAAATTTGTGACACTCGAGTTCAGTTGGTAAAAAAAAAAAAACAAATTTGAGAAGAAATCATAAAACTAGAGAAAGGAAGAAAAAGGAATGAAACCCAATAGCTTAGGATAAATTTTTATTCTACCAACATTCTTTGTTTTTGAATTTTTGTAAAATGAAAATTTGACAAATATATATAACATATCAAAAATTAGTAATGACAAAATGTCTTATACGGCATAAATAATCTTAGTGAGTTAACATTCATTTCAAATTAAATAATTAATACGGTCCTAGAGTCAATAAGAAAATTGTCTCGATTGATTAATTTAAACTATGCACAAATGATTTTATATCTATTAAATTATTATTATGTAAATAAAAAACTATTTTACCGTAAATCTTTCTTTTACGTGTTGAATCCTCTAGACTTATTTGAACATTAACAAAATTGTAACTCCTTATAAAGTTGAAGTGTGTAGGTAGTGCTTGCAATATGTTTATGGCTAACAATTCAAAAATTATTCATCTCAAAATAATTTGACTTAAGTTCGATATTGTTATAAATGAAGATTTCAGTGAACAAATCACTTGGTAGTGATCCTTTTGTTGTACTATATTAGAGTGATATAGGGAGGCATGAATAATATGGTAGACATCATGTATGAGAATTGGGTCCGAGTTGAATACTTGAATTTGAATTTGAATATGATTTTCTTTAAAAATTTCGAACTCAAAATTTGTAATATGACAAGTTTGAAAAAAGACTTCTTATTATTATCTTTTCTTTTTTGTATTTTTATATTATATTATTACCATATATTTTTTTTAACTTTATAATACATTATCAGCAAGGTTAGCTCTACAATTTTCTCTCCTAAATCGTTTTAATTCATCTGCTTAGGTATGATTTATGTATCATCACTCGCTTAATTCATTATATCTGTCTAAATTCATAATACTATTATTATCACTATTTCTAATATATGCGCATAAATCTTCTTTTACTAATTGATTTTGCATATTATATATTTATTGTATTCTTGTTATCATAATTTTAATAGATTTGATATATTTTATAATAAATTTTATATATCAAATATTATTAGAGTATAATTTGTGAGTTTTAAAACTACTATAAAAATATTGGTCATTGATATTTAATATTGAAATTCATTTAAATATTATGTATCATGAAGATGCAATAATAAAATAATAAAGTATCGATATAAAATTGTGTTAAAACGATAAATCTTTTTCTTAATAGGTCCATAAAAAGATTAAAAAGGTTAACTACCTAATAGTAAAAGATCAACTTGAACTTCGAAAAATTGGAGAGAGTATATAACCATAAAATTAGTAATTGTTCAAAAAAATCTTTATAATTTGATTCGATTGCGATTCCAAAGCTTCAAAATTTTAAGTGAATAAAACTCTAAAATATTTTTATGAGCTTTAAAGTTGTGCTGAAAAAATATTATTGATAACATTATGTAAGAGAAATGTTCTCTAACTTTCATGACTCGAATATGCTCCTAATTCAATAATGATAAGTAAAATAATTGAGAATTCATATAAGCATCTACTAAAGTACTATAAAATACTTAAATCAAATGAATTTGCATGTACCGCTTGTTTCTAAGTCATCACAAGTGAAAATTAAAATTAAATCTCTTGCATTTTTGGAATGCATATAAGGAGATAGTGTTAAAAAATTTGATGCGGAAGTTATTTTTTATTGAATTCGACATATTTTAAGAAAAGAAAAGTATCAGAATATTAGAATTATATATCATTCAAAAACAATGCAATTATAGCGTGATTAAAAGATATTTTGATAAAAATCTTAATTCTTTGACCCACTTCTTCTTTCTATCTAACTATTATGCATAAGAATGAAGAACTTAGTTGATGAAAGATATATTTAAAGGAGAATTTGTGTTTCTTTTATAAATGAGATGAGATGCCAAAATACATTTAAGGTAATTGAATGTGTTAATAACTGTTTCTATTATTGTAGTTCAATACCCATAAAATAAAATAATTCTATAATTTATTTTAAAGTTACTCACCACTTCATTGAGATACTTTTTCTTTTACAACAGTTATCTATTATTTTGAATGTCTTTTAAGTTAGCTTCAACCATTATAAATAGATAAATAAAAAAAATAGAACACTAGATTAATGGATCATCCACAATATATATTTAGATATTTTATGATTCTGATAGATGATCTACAAGATAATCACATATGTATTTATAAACTAGTGTTTGGAAAGTTACTTTCTCACATAATTCGCATAAAAACAAAATTTTCATATGATACAATTAAAAGATTTTGTCTTGATAATGACGGTGAACCTACATTAAAGCTTTTAATGATTAAATATTTTGTACTCATGTTTATACAAAAAATAATTTGACTAAATCATTAATTAAAAGCCTCTAATTAATAGATAAATCATTATCTATGATAACAAAACTCTCTATCACTATATGGAAAAATGATAGTTTGCATGTAGTAGGACTTATTTGCATAAGCCACCAAGTCATTCTAAGTTATCCCCTTTACAATTGACGCGCACTATATATTTCAATTGGTAGATCATAATGCACCAAAATGAGTTATCAAAGAAGATTAGGGACATACATTCAATATAAATATCCATATATAATGAAATATTTATAATCTCTTTGTTAGAAATATTTTTACAATATAATTTATTGACTGTCAGACAATATAGTATTAAAAGAAAAAAAATAAACAACTGGATAAAAGAATTAAAAAAATAATTTATTTCTAAAATGTAGCAAATCAACTACAAGATGCATTCATTGACCTAATATCGCACATGTAACTTACATGTCGATTGTAAATACAATACACCAATTGAATATTTATGTTCTTATAGAACAATATGCTAATATCGCAAATAAATCTAAAGCATCCATAAAGCACGATAGACCAATTAATTCTAAAGATAGAAATTCTCAAAAAGAAAATGTCCAAATAATTGAGATATCCTAATCAATGAATAAATTAACAATCAAATACTCTAGATTTAAGAAGGCATATGCTCGTAAAGAATCCATTAACATAATTAATTATAAAACTCAAGAAACTAATAATGATAATAATGAGATATCAATAAATTATATCATTACCAAAATATGTCGGGACCGTTGTCTACAACATTTTTTTTTTTTATTTTTATTTTTTATAATAATGTAGCTGCCCAATATTATAGAAGAAAATAATGAAACTACATTTTTCAAATAATGTAGATATAGAAATGATTGTCCAAAATAGAAAGACGCAATTATTAATTTATAATAATTGTTACATATGGAAATGATTTAAATGTAATTGCAACTCATGAAGAGCCTTCCAAAATAGTTTCTTGTTTGAATAACAAATTCTAAATGAAAAATAAAATCGTCTTGTCTTATAAATCAACATGTAAAAAAAAAAGATCTTAAGATGATTTCTATTTCTCATGAATAAAACATATGGATTAACTATTTATATCGTGGTTGATCAATCACTCGGTATGCATAAAATTCTGCTTTGACTTTACACACAGAATAATTAAGAACTACTTAATTCTCATATATTTTTATCTTAATGCAATAAATACACTAATGTATTCCGTCAATAATACTCAAACCGACATAATATTTTTTTATATAAATTTATTATTAAGACTCGATGCTTTTTCTGTAAGAAAATATTAAAACGGAGGTAAATAATATTTAGATATTTTTAAGAAACAATATACATTCAAAATAGTAATTAACTAGTTTATACGAATACAATATATATATATATATATTATCTGTACATAAAAGCTAGATCTCAAAGATGCTATTTGTTCACATATGAGGGTAAAACAATATCATAACAGCCTCACAGAACAAATAACAGCTACTACTTTTCCAAACACTTACCATTCACAAGCAAGTCAAGAAATATGTACAAGTTATATATTGATGATTCAAAAAGACATATCATCTATTCCTAACAATATTTTACGAAAATAATACTGTATGCATAGCTTAGCCAACAAAATGACATATTTTTCTTTTCGAAATAGTCAACATAATCAAACATATTTCACCAAATTTCTTTTTAATGCATTATCTTCAAAATGATAATGATATTGAAGTTCAACAAACTTACTCAAGCAACAACTGGACAGGTTTATTTAGGAAACCATTACCAACTACTACATTTGAGAAATTCATATGCATCAACTAAGACAAATAAAATAAAAAAAACATATTTTTATTAAAATTTATTACTGTGTTGTATTCTTTTTTTATTGTCCGTTCATAATACACTTAAAACAAAAAAAGTGAAAAACTTAATATTCTGGGGGCTAAATTCAAATTCAAAACTTTCAAACATAATGCTAAAACCTTAATAACTATAGACTCACCGTGCTGGTGATCTTTTCACCAAAAAAACAGCCTAAATCAATTGAAATCGCCCACAGTTCAGTCTGTATATTTCTACAATCTTTCCCACTAAGATGGTGCATCTATAATTCATAGCAAAATAACAGGAAAATTTCTTTTGGAAGAAAAAAGAAAAAGACCTCCTCATCTTGACTGTTATTGCCAAGTGAAAAAACTTGAATCAAGCCACCAGCAATAACTTCTCTATGATCACTCAACAGGCCAAGCCCGCTAAACATTACCGGCTCATGCTACCGGCCCCTCCAACAATTTACTTCTTACAGACCAAGCAAATGGGGATTAGGGTCGGCGTGTGCCAATCCAATTCCCTACCAAGCCAGGCCTGGTTCAGTTCCTTCTCACCAAAAGATCGCTTAATCAGTCTGGCCCAGCTTATTTACATTTCTAAAGTTCTCACTGGCAGTCCCTCTGTAGAGGTAGCCAAGGTTTAAATCTGCGAACCATGAAGTTCGCTGCGTCACCCAGAAAAAGAAGGTTCTCAGTCAAGAAATTCAAGCCAAAACTCACACCACGGAGCTCCAAAGTAAATGACACGCAAACATAGAGACTCTTACAGAATAGGGATGCCACGAAGGATTAGTATAAAATTTTCTCTCACAATTTTAGTAAATGCTTTCACAAGTGGCAAAAATTCTCAAATTTGCTCAAAATTATGGACCAGTGAGGTATATTTACAACATTTTTAATTTTTCACCTTGTAATCATGGTTGTGCTAACTTCGCCAGTATAGCCATGTCTAATATCTTAACATCTAGACTGTCATCTATCCTTACAATTCCATCAGTGCCATCTACACCAATTAACTTACCAGCTGCACCACGCTGTGCACCACCAATGATCTTGATCCTGTCTGATTTCCTGGGTGCAACAATTTCTAACTCACTTGGAAGGGCAGTCACTGTCTCGCCCTCACCACTTAGCCCCAAGACCACCTTACATAAACCATCCTACAAAAAATAGAATATCAGTCATCAATATATGATTCCAGTCGATAAATCATTCTATCCAGTTAAAATTAACAGCTATTTATATCTCAATTACCTGAGACAATTGCGGAATTCAATAATCTATTCATGATATCACAATCCCAAATCTCATAATTGGAATATTGTAGAAAGATAGAGAAATTGTTATAGAAGACATACCGAAAGAACCTCTCGGATGACTCCTACAGCACTGTCATCGCCAGATTTGTGAACATCCACCAAGATGTCTGGCATGAACCATGGTCCTTCATTGTCTCCACCTGGAATAAAAATGGATGTTAATTATGTGAATCCAACTGACAAACAAGAAAAACAAGCAAAAAACAAAATATTGTGTCCCGCCCATATGGAAAATATGGGAAAGTAAAAAGAACTCAAAGAAGCGTATAACATCATGAGCCACGCTAAGCTGATGCAGGGAGAGAGAGAGAGACACACACACAAATCAAATGAAAAGCTTATTTAATTATTTGTCAAGGCATAGAATTTTCAAAGCCTCATTTCTGTACATGACGTGAAGTCAGTCATTATGATCACTTATGCCAGATTATCAAATCAATTACCTATAACAGGAGACATAACATCAAGACCACCAGTGCCTGGGGTCATCGGTTGCCCGCCAGGAGTGCCAGGAAGATAAGATGCTGAATTTGGTGTCATAGGCTGCCCCCCAGGAGTTGATGGCAAGTACGGACTTGGAGCATTGGCTGCAAGTAGATAATATGAGTTTGAACCAGCAAAACTATATTCATCAATAGCTAGGACAATGAAGAAAGAAGGTACCATAGGCAGAACTGTTATCCCTTGGTGTTCCAGAATCACTATAACTGCCACCAGGAGTACTTGCCCAACCTGACCCGGGAGTAGGAGCTTCATATGCCCGAGAAGGAGGACTTCCTGGCTGAAACAGAAAAAATAATAATAAGGGAAACATACACTTGAAGTTACAAAATAACAAAACTCTAGATCAACACAGCATTATGCTTGATGTGGATAGTGAATACCTGATACTGTGGACTTGTGCCCCAAGAAGCTGGATTCGCTTCTTCCCAGTTATCCCTATTAAAACAAGTCAAAAGAGGATAAGTTGTTTATGCCCAATAAATTTTTATACATAACACACCCAGAACAATCTACAGCAGGCTCGTTTCATATTGTTTTTCAAAGAGAAGTACAGTCACAAGACACCAAGAAGGTGCCATCCGCACCCAAGATTACACAATAGAATTGGACAATATGTCTATAAGGTCCCCTATATCTTCTGAAGATGACCTTTGAAAAAAATTATACAAGAAGGCCTGTCAGATATAATCTTCAGCTCATATTTTGGTACATGCTCTTACTAGTTAATTTAAGAAGGAAACCAGAACTCTCACTGTTGAAATATCCATCAGCTACACCTTGAAATCAATCAACATCAGAATCCTAGTGGACTAATTACAGAAACGGATAAATTAACAGATATTTCAAGACAAAGTCTTTTTCATACTTTGGTGCCAAGAGCAACATTGAACCCAAGCATTCTATAGAAACTGTGCATGACACACCACTAGGCGACATGCCTTGGTCTCAAGACTAAGTCTTTTTTTTGATAAACCCAAGACCAAGTCTTTAGTTATACAACGATACCACCCATTCTTTTAAAATATATATATATATATATATATAAACATATATATATAACTTCGAGAATTTTACAGTCTTTTGAACACCTAAAAAAAACTAATAGAAATCAGCCATTTTTTTGCTGAAGACATCAGTTTCTTATCTGAATGATCTTTGTGTCAAAATGTATATTACCAAAAGTCAAATTAGATTCCCTTAGTTATTCAATTATAATTGGCATGTACAAGTTAACAAGGCTCATTAAGATGAAGGCAAAACATAATTCCCTTTTTTTTCCTTTCTTGTCATATTGAAGAACCAACCTGGCAGGACTAGTAGGTGCATAGGGATTCCAAGCTCGGTCACGCATAGGTGTTCTCATTCCATCATGGATAGGCGTTGCTGCAGAAAACATGGGTAATAATTATTATTTTTTGAATAATTACAAACACAAGTGAAAAATAGAACCTAGAAAAATCACTTAGTCTAGGTAAAAATACCTCCAGGATCTCTCATAGGAGTATATGGGTGAAGTGGAGTCCGAGAAGGATGCATAGGGGTTTCACTTCCCATCCCATACCGAGGTGTATCACTGCAAAAATATACTTAAAGTCAGAGTGTTGAATAACAAAAGATGATTTATCAACCCGGAACGAGAATGATATTTACCGGTATGGTGTTGAAACCACCACATTATCAGATATAAAATTGCGGTCAACTGCACATACAAAAACAAGTTAAGACCAAAGAAAATCCTATAAAAAATATAATTACATTTTATACCTATTAATAAAGAATAATAACAAGAATTTTGCAATTTTGTAAGTACTTGCCTGTAACAACCTTCATTTGGGACTCTAACTCAACACGAACTGACTGGCCTTTAATATCTACAACACGTCCACGGTAGCCCTTGAAAGGACCCTGGCGAATTTTAACTGTAGTACCAACCAAAGCATCATGTCCACCTCTTCCACCTCTATGCCTTCCTCCAGCTGTATTGAAGAAAAAAATGCACAGGAAAAGCCTCTAATGATAAGCAAGAGCTGAGATGAAAACACTAAGAGTAGAGATAGAAAACTGAATCATACAATCAAATGTGGGACCGCCTCTATGAAATCTTCGAGGTGATGGGGGTATACGAGGTGGAGCCTTGAAATTAGCAAACCTAGAGTAAGAATCTCCCTAAAATTGAAATACAAATTAGAAAACCTGAATAATATAGCCTGTAATAACTCATGTTGAATCCCAAATCTTAGGAAAAATAAATAAGAAAACCAAATGCTTACATTTCTGTCATTGTTAGAACGTGATCCACCAACAATAACACAAGAACTAGCTTTAGCACATATAAATCCAGCATGTTCAAGGTGATGGCGATCATAAATGAACAGGAGACCCCTGTATATGTGTTCTACAGGACCTTGCTTCCCCTAATATAATAAGGCAAAAAAATGAATCAAAACTTGTAAAGCTACATAAATAACTAACATCACAAGCAAAATGTAAACAGGAATCTTACTTTGCAAGGGCCCTCTAGGATTCTGACAACATCTTTTACTGAAACAGGATTTTTGAAGCGATCTGGTGCATTAACCTTCTTCTCAATCTTGCACTTGATTTCTCTCAATTTAACAAGTGCAACTTCAGGTCTCTCAGGAACTCCTTTAAGAACCTTAAGAGGGAAGTATAGATGGTGGAGATAAGTAAATCCATAGGAGAACGCAAAAGATACATCAAAAGAAGGCAAAAAAATTTCACCTGAAAAGCTTCGCTTTCAACACGTATAATTACTCCAAAACTCATATTACTGCATAACATGAAGAAAAAATTAGATATAATCCTTTCATCCCACTTTATTTTTGAAGAAATCTTAGAGAGCGTTCTTTTGGCTAATTTCCGGAAACCAACTAATTAAGCTTTGACCTAAAAATAAGTTGTCTGTTTTAGGCTATTTGGCTTATAAGCGAAGACAAAATCCACGAATGTTGACTTTTTTCTTTTGGTTCAAGTGACGCAAGAAAGACAATTTTGCCTTTTATGCTTTTAACCGAAATACACATATTAGAAAGTACTTCGATTTGTGTGTATATTTTAGTCAGTTTATTAAATTTTCAACTTAGAAAAATTCTTGTAACAAACATTGTTATGCATGGTAAAGCTTATAAGTTAAACAAAATACATCAACTAAACACATTTTCACTATTCCTCAATAACTTATGAGCTCATGAGCTTATAATTGATAATCCAAATAAAATGTCCCCTTACTCCAGTAGCACCAGATCATGAAGCTCATAGTCCCCAATTTTGGTAACACCAGTTGTAACCTCAGAGCTCTCCGCAACATCATCAGCAAACACACGAATCTGAAGACAAAAAATTTTCATCTAATTTTTTCTCTTGATTAAAAAAAAGTGAAGTTTACAGCAAAAGATCTTTTATCAAATGTATTAATATGTTACTCACATGTTCCTTGGTTGTATCAGACAAAATGATAAGCACATGCTGCTCAACCTTAACAACCATACCCGTGGCTCCTTCCTGAGCCCCAGAGACAACCTTAACATGATTGCCAGGCTCAAAGTACTTGCAAAGCTCTTTTTCATTGACAGCAAGAGTTTTCTGCAAAAGAGAGACATCAATGGCCAAAATAATTTTAGGAGACAATATTATTCATATGCTAAAAAGATTAAAAGACCATATCAATAGAAAATTACTAGTAATTCAAAAAACACTTACAGGAAGGCCTTTCATTTCTGGTCTAATATGGACATTCTCTTCATCAACCTTCTCTACCCATCCCTTTAAATTTTTAAGATCACCCTTGACAACTATAACTGCATCACCCTTCATAAAATGACCTTTCTTTCTGTTGGCAAATAAAGTAGACAAACTAGCAATATCACCCTCTCCATTCTCGCCAGGTTTCCGAAACTTTTCAAGCTCATCAAAAGTTGGTTTTATGTTCTGAGTGCTAATTGATTTCATTGACACTGCTTTATACAAGAAGCCATCTTTAAACAACATGCCACCAATGTTCTCAAAGTAGTCCCCTGTCATTGGATCTCGTCTGCGCTCCACACGGATATGCAGTTCCCTGGAGGTACATAACAAGGATTAAGGCCCAAACTATTGTAACAATCACATATTTTTGCGATTGATGGAGACAGCAACCGTACCTAGCTTCATCAATATTCATAAAGCGTGGGGGAGGGACAAAAGCCTTCTTTTTTACAACTTCTCTACCTTCCTGAAACAGAGATGTGTTTGTAATAATAAGCAGCAGAATTCCATGACAAGAGTAAACTTGGAACTTTTAGCAAGTTGATAACTTTATAAGAACAACAAACTGCTGAAAAAACAGAGAAATGTAGTTGCATTCATTAAGAGTGCATTTGGGATTGCTAAGAAAAATGTCTTTCAGAATAGTAGGTGCTTTGCATATGGGCGGCTTTGATGTCTGTCATTAACACAACTTCCATACTTCTATTTCAAAAAAAAAAAAAAAGTAGTGGGTGCTTCAAATAACTTCAATCCTCAAGTGTTAATTTAGAAAAATAAGCAATTATTTTTTTTTATTAAAGACAATTATAGTTAGATATTATTGTTATTTTTTCTAAGAAAAATATCTCCAAAGATAAGTAAATAATTCAAGAGAAAAAGGAAAAAAGTAAGAGAGAGAATGCTTACTTTATCTAAAAATAGACAGTTATATGTAGATAAAGTGGTGATAGTAAAAAAGTAAGTAGTTATATTCAGTAAATAATTAATCAAAAATGTGTACTTACTAGAAATACTTTGTGACCTGCAATATTATATGTATTGTTAATTTTAAGAGAATATCAAGGGAGTGATCAAGTAATTCACTTAGATGAAACATAAGAACCTAAAAGAGTAGGACTAGAGTTCTCATTTTATTCTTCTCAAGATCACTTTTAAGAACCTAATAAGCACCTTACTTTTCTAGATTAACTAACAGGAATACTAGAGCAGGATGCATAATGCAACTATAAGCAACAAATAAGCTAAGTACCAACGATTTCTTAATGGACACAATGCTCGTTACATTACAAAACAGGTAGATTTTGAACAGAATGCTTAAAGTATTTATGAGCATCTGATAAGCAAGGCAAATCAGTCTCTTAGAATTTTTTTCTTTGAAATAAAAAGTATAATAAATATCATTGAATACAGGCACCAAGGGGGTGCAAACTCACGTACAAAATTATTTAAATGTCAATGGGTATTTATCAATCAGTTATCTATAAGAATTTTAAGTTAATAGCTCCTTCAACTCTCTTATTATGTTCTCTCTTACCCATATATCCTTATTGCCTCAGCATATTTGGTTTACTAAATGGAAAAGAGGCTTGACAGAAATAGAATATGCGTGTTATTTCAAAAAACCAAAGAATATGCTCATAAAGCAATTGTGGTTAAGTTCCTGGTTTGGTTCACGTAACGAAAAGGTAATTACACTATTTGGTTAGTTGGTCATAATAGAGTTGGAATAAGTTTTAAATGACAACCTACTCTTTAATTGTTATGATAATTGCAATATTTATTTAAAATTAAAATATAAATATATTGTCAAAATATCCAAAAAACACATTTTTATTATGTTTAACAAAAATATTTCTAAAATATTAAAAATGTGTCAAATTATTTCAATATGATTAAACAATAAAAAAATATATTTAAAAAGTGTAAAAATTCTATTAAATTTAAGTATCATCACAATCCAACATCAAATATTCCTAACCATCACCGACTGATGGGCAGTAGCTCATATTTAGAGGACTTATTGTTAACAGTCAGATGGCGTTGAAGGGGACATAGTTCTCAATTATGGGGCAATATTTTTGGGCCAGGAGCAATTTTTTATTATAAGGGGCATCCTTGTAAAATTCAGTTTTCATCCTTTTACTGTATATTGGAAAACCCTAGTTGTTACACATGCTTCTTTTTCAGGGAAGAAGTTTGCAGGTGGCTCCATGGGGTAGGCACATCACCAATCGCCAAACCACATTAAAATTCTGTGTTCTTTCTTTCTCTATTTATTTTACTGTAATGTATGCGTTGTGTGGGTGACTGATTAACAAGCCTGAAAATGGGATTGTTTTTTTTTTTAAATGAAGTGACTAACATATATTTGGACAGACTTTGCCTAGTAAGATATCAGGAAAAAGTTAGATATTACACCTTACCGTTCTCAGATATCTTTTACAACATTTGACTGAATCACATAATCAAGAAGTGAGAAAATTCTTATAGCCACTTGTATTGATTGAATAATGCTCTTAAAGGAGATTAAAAAATTATTCATAGAGTACAAAGTAATCATTTTCCAATTAGTATTAGCCTAAGAATACCAACTAGGAAGTACTAGTAATATTAGGAAAAACCAAACGTGTATAAATTGAAAAACATGAAATGATTCCTAAATAGTTAATTGCTAGTATGGAGGTTGATGGAGGAGGATAGAATGTGGAGAAGTGTTATTGAGGCTCATTGGGGGAGGCTTGATGAGAGAGGGGAGGAGGGGGGGTGTCAGGAGATGTGGGATGAGACTGCAGAGGTAGGGCTTCAGAGGAGAATTCTATTGGATCAGCTTAAAACCCAGGATTGCATTAGATGGAGATTAGGGAGAGGTAACAGAATCGATTTCTGGTTGGATGGGTGGGTGGTCGGTGGTAGCCTCAAGAGACAATTCCCGAGAATATATGCCATTGCCCAACCAAAGAACATGCTTATTGAAGATGCATACAGAGAAAAAAATGGCAGTAGAGAATGGATAATAAATGTGAACAGAAACCTAAATGACTGGGAAGTTGAAGAATATGAAGCTACACTACAGCTCCTGTCCACGGTGAATGTCAATAAAAATAGGGACTGGATTAGTGGAAACTTAAACAGAATGGGGAATTTACTGTCAAGTCTTATTATAAGTATCTAATGGGCAGAGAGCAGGATGGGATTCCTAAATTCCTGGCTTATCAGATTTGGAAAGTTAAGCCACCTCCAAGAGTCGCTTCTTTTGCCTGGGAGGCGAGCCATGAGTGCATATTGACAATTTATAAGCTTATAAAAAGAGCAAAATAATGGTAAATGGATGCTACATGTGCAAGAAAGCTGCTAAATCTTAATAATCATATTCTATTATGGTGCCCAATGGCCTATGAATTATGGATAATGGCTTACGGTCTGTTAGGGATCAATTGGGTTATGGCGGGTCGGTGAGGGATGAACTATGGACCTGGAAAGGTTTATGCAAAAAACGACAAATTATAAATCTTATTCCACTCACTATCTTTTAGGTTTTATGGAAAGAGAGAAATAGTAGAGCTTTTGAGGGTAATGAAGGTAAGATATCTAAGATCATGGATAGATGAATTTTTTTGGGTCCTTGATTTTGGGGAATGACATTTATAGAATGGAATATTTTGGGAAAGTCAATTATGACTAACACAATTGTAAATCTTTTTGTAAATGGACGATACCCCCTTGGTTCCTTGTCAATATCATTCTTCACACTTTTTGTTTAAAAAAAAAAAGTTAATTGCTACTATGTCTATGCAGCATCACATAATGTAAGGGAAAACATAATTATTTCACTTATATAAGCTGGAGAGAAAATAAACATATATTTTCTTTTTTGGGACAAACCTGTTCAAACCACTAACAACACTAACTAAAGTAGTAACAGTTCCTTGCAATGGGAATTCAACTTATCATATATTTTCTTCTTCTTCTGAATTTCCTGGTTTGCTTCTAATTTTCAATTTCTGCTTTTTTTTGTTGATAAGACCTTTTCCTTGATTATTTATTAATATTTCATAAATGTTAACTAGTTTACTTTTGATACTTCAGATTCTTTCCCAGTTGCCATATTCCATTTACTCAAAAGAGTCAGATCATTCCAAATGGTTAGTTTTTATGCATGAATGCAGCAGTCACACAACCATCTACTCCTCTTGTGCAGCAGAGTCCTATGCAATTGGAAACTTGGTCTTCCAAATGTCAGTTGGGTAGTAGAATGTTCAATGGCCAAAAAACTTTGGCCTTGGAAAGGTCTAACATTCAGGAGGAGAAAGGGAAAAAACAAGATCCCTTGCCTCATTTCTTTGGCCACTGTTTGGATCATTTGGGAAGAAATGAGAGATAAAGGCTCTAGGAGGTGTTTGTACCCCTTTTCAAAGGAATAAAAGACTTGTGGTCTGGGACCCTCTATATTTTGCTTAATTTCATTCTCTCTAACAAGGAGGATTTAGGAGACTTAGTTATTTTGAGCAATACTCTTCTGTAAATTTCTTAAATGCAGGTGATGACCTCCTCTGTGCCTTTGAAATGAATTTTGTTTTTTTTTCCCCTCAAAATACATGCTTCTACAAGTAGGTCCACCATTACATAAAGAACTGAGGCCTCTAGTTAATAAAGTAACAGATACCATACCAGTTTATTTGCAAGAGCCTGTAAGTCAATCCTGGGTATTAATTTCACTGTAACCCTCTGTCGTACATTGTCCACCTCAACTACCTAGATTACAGAAACTTGATGGTCAACAAAAATCTGAGATGTAGTAATCTTGAAATATCATACCAATTCAAAGGAAAGATATCATACTTTAGCAAGGTCTCCCTTATATGTCCCAATTTTCATTCTAACCCAGGTATCTCTTGAAAGATCAATTGCTTTGCTTTCAACCGATAGTACATCTGTCATTTCCCTAATTGGAACAAGCAGTATCTTCTGATTGGCATATATGTTTCGCATGCCCTTGATAGCCTGAACCATAAAATTTTCAAATTAACTCTACATATGCATATGTACAAATAATGTACACCTCAGAATATTGCTAAGCCTGATTTGGTAAGTAATTACAAATCATGCAAGTATCTTCATAATAACATACCTCCCTCACATGGGCTTCCTTATCTGCTTCAACATATATATAATTTTTTAGATGATCAAGAGCAATAGCAGATCTAATCTGTAATTCAGCTCTTTTATCAATGTACTTTTGCATAAGGCAAACAGCCACCTCTCGCTCACGGCCAATCTGACATACATCCAGATAAATTTCAGCAAACGTTGTTCCCAACAGATAAAAATGAATTATGAACAAAAACCAGAAGAAAAAAAAAAACATCATACCGCGCATTTCACCATCCACAACTTTGGATCCCTTACAGATGGCAAAAGAGCTTGTTGCTCTACATCTGTGGTTTCTTCATCATATTCTGTATGATTTGCCCTGGAATACCTTTGTTGAATTCTTCTCTCAAGAGCTTCAACATCTTCTTGCTCATCCTCCCGAGACAGCATAGGGCGATGGTGCATCCTTCTACCATCATCTTCATCAGGTAGTTCAGCTCCACCATCCACTATGAAGTCTGCACATTCAACAAAATGAGTTGGTTTTAAAGCATTTTTTGGGGGAAAAATCATAATTTTATTAGGAATTAAAACATACAAAACTCAAAGTAGAAAAAAACCCACAATTATAAGAGAAAGTGTCCTCATATTGATATAAATATTACCAAGCAGAAGGGAACCTAGTAAAAGCAAACTTGCTTTGTTAAGCACGGAATGCCCCATTGAAAACAAAGAAGCAACATGGAATGGACACGAATAACAAAAAGTTTTCACTAGTTTCTGTGAATGTGATGAAACATCCTCTACTTATAACAACCAAATATACTAAGTAACTCAATTGACCATCACCATTCTACTTTTATAATACAGCCATCATATCAGTCCAGCAAACAGACACTGACTGAGAAACGCTACTCAAAAATTACAAAATTGTATTTCAGAATATAAATATCTCAAGCTTTCAGTTCAAGCATGTTTTGCAATGCAGCATCAAGACCACCCAAACTAAGCAACCATTACTATAGGAATTTACTAAACAAAGGAGCTAGCTTTTCCAACTAAAATACATTCTCAGAGAATGGACAAAGGTTAAACACTTACCATCTTCTCCATCTTCTTCTTCCTCTTCTTCATCACTATCTACCTGAGCCTCAAGATCAAAAAACTCAGAGCCCGATCTCCTCTTAGCTTTATGCCTAGATCTTCCTCCCCCACCATAATCATCCTCTTCGTCCTCATCTTCCTCCTCGTCATCCTCCTCCGCAGCATCATCAATAAAATCAGATCTCCTCCTTTTCTTACTTGAACCACCCCCTCTAACACTTTCATCATCCTCGTACTCATCCTCCTCATCAAGGATTTGTTCCTCATCATCCAGTCCCTCATCCTCATAGTCATCATCATCTCTGATAGGAGACATACTAGGTGGGGTTTGACACTCAGATTAGACAAAGAGACTATGCAGAGATTGTATTACAAATAAGAAAACTGAAACCAAGAAGAGAAGAGAAAAGGGTCAGTTATGAAAATGAACCAAGTCAAATACAATCAAAGGATAAACATACACCTTCTTAAACCACAAAATCATAATTTCTATTCGAGGCTTATCAAACAGTGAATGATAAGTACTAAAATCAACATTCATTTACCAATCTATGATTAAGTTCAGCTCACAATCACAATAAAACATAAAGATGACGAGGAAAATAAACACCAAAAATCCCAGTAATTAACCAACAGCTTTGGACACCTATGTATTGTTCTATATTCAGAGGGAAGGATTCAGAAAATTGAAACAAGAAAGAAAGATGTTAAGCACTCATCTTGTTGAGTAATTAATTAGGGCCTAAAATTAGTTAGTCCTACTACAATGCACACGTATTGGTGTACATTTTCCATGAAGAATACAAAATTCAATATATAAATCAATAAAAGAGTGGGAAAAATTAAGTACATGAAGAATTAAGGAGGAATTAAATGTGTGTGCCCGCCCTGCTGCTTGTTTTCAAGTTCAATCCAATCTCCCTATAACTATCAATTTGTTGAAAAACCCATATGCAAATATAAAAACTCACAAAAAATGACCAGTAAACATAGTAAAATAATTAATCAACAGAAACGATGCACAGATTAACACGTAAGGGCAACTTTACTCATTCAGATGAATTGAACCCACACAACCTTTTCCACATGTGTAAAGAAGCATGGAAGGATTGCATAAAGAGTATTTTTGTTGTTCCAAACCTTAGTTTGTCTAAGTTGTTGATTCAAAAGGAAACAATAGTTCACTTGCTTATTTGATATCGCTAATGATGTATGCTCATTTTGTGAACATATATTTTCCGTGAAGCAAGCCTTTGTCTGCGTTGTTATGCAAACACAAAACAATGGTTGACTTACTTATTCAGTATGGTCTACGATTTGTACGCTCAAATGAACATAGAAAGCCAGAAGAGATCGTGCTGGAAGGAACTACAAAGCCCAAAGACATTTATGCCTAAAAGAACAATGACAGCAGGAAGAAGTAAAAGGAGCATCGCATCACACTGTTTACTGTATTGATCCTTGAGAGGATTAACCTACTCAAAGGCTTTATTCAATAAACAGAGATGTAAATTTTTCTCTCGGTTATGTAACATTTCCCCCAAATCTTTGCTTTCGGTTTGTAGAGGTGAAAAGAAAACATACCAATCACAGAAACTCTTTAGGCTCCGAATTCTCCCGATTTCTCTCCTAGTCTCTTATTCGTTCTCTGTGATAGCTCTCCAGAAGAACCTCTACAATTCGGCACAGATTGCCTTTTGAAAACCCTAGACTTTTTCACGAAGCTCTCTTCTCTACTCGGTGATTTTCTCTTCTCCTTCACCTCCAGATTCCCAAACAGCCTCTCCTTTTATAGTCACGAGTCTGGCTTTCTCCACCTGCTCCTTGAAAACTACTGCTTCCTTATCGGATTCTCTGGCTCCTTCCACCATATGCAGGTCGTCCTTACTCGGAAAAACTTGGCAATTTCTGCAAGAACCTCTGCCTTTTTGCTCTGATATCACCACGCGAAGCTGCTCAGCCTCGTTAGCTCCTTCTCAGCCTCGTTTGTTCCCTCTCAGCCTCATGTACCTGCTTGTTGGAAGAAACCCTAACCAGCCGTTGTGTTGTGTTTGTCGATCAGAAGCTTGAAGGAACCCAAGGGACTCCAAAACGGTGCCGTCAAATGGAGCAAAGCTTTTTGTGGGCTTAATGGCAAGAGCCTTGGTTTTGTATATGGGTTTCCGTGTTATGGATATGTACGGGTTTGGCAAGTTCCTTCAAGAAGATTTAAACATTGTTGGAAAAAAAAAAAAAAATCTAATATTAATTAATATTTTAAAGTTAATTCATCCAAATCAATAATTTTGTGCAAATGAGGATAAAACTCCAACAACTTGCTCTTGCATTCTTTGTATTGTTGCTGGTATATGATGCTAGAGCTCAAAGAAATAGAATACATGACGTAATCTTATATGATAGAAAGATTGATATTAATCAAATATATTACGTAAAAGGTTATTAAATTTTAATTATGCAATAATTTACGATATATGTAGTGGTTCAATTAAATTTTTTATTTTAAAATATTTACTAAAATATTACCTAAACGTACTTTTTATTGAATTTTTATGTTTTGGATTTTTGTAAGTTTTCTTAAAAGCTTTTAAGGCAGCATACACTTTTTTGGAATGCAAAAAAATTTTGATCCCCGAAGAAAATTATTACTTAGGATATGTTATTTTAAAAGGTTCTTATAAGACTCTTATTGTAATCGAAATTTAAAGTAATTTGTTACCCTCTCATGACATTAAAAAATTCGAAGGTGTTGACAATTGGGTTACCTTGTAGTATATTGACCGCCTTACCTTACTTGGTGATGGAGTTTTTGATGGCCAATGTACAACTGTTTCGGTCATTAATGAATGTGACAAGAACAGAAAATACAAAAAATCGTCTATCATAAGTTCGTCATTCATATTTTTGACCATTTTTAATATTTTTTTAATATTTTAGAGGAGGTTAATTAAGTTTCTTAAAATATAGATTGCGTAATAAATAAAATATACTTTTATTTACATATAATTGCAAGTTAATCTTCAATTCTTCTACGAGACAAGTATAAATTTTTGTTTCTAACTTTAAGTATATAAGATTTTTAACTCTAACTATGGTGTTTATTAATACTAACAAAAGATTTTTATTCTTTTCTTTTGTTATTTGAAAAATAAACTGAGTTTAAGGTTCAACATACTTACCAATGCGGTGGTCCATCACATAACTTCCCTAGATAACAAAAACCTCCATATCAACATCTTAGGTTGCAAAAATATTACTTTCCACTACATTAATATTACCACACCAGATGAAAGTTTCAATACAAATGTCATCCATTTGGGTCGATCAAATGGGATCATCATCACTAAGTACATAATCTCAATTGGCAATAATTGCATCTCCATCGGAGGCAGCACTAAAAACTTGAATATCGTGAAAGTTGTGTGCAGACTTAGTCATGGAATAAGCATATAAAGCCTTGACAAGTATAACGATGAAGTGTTTGTAGAAGGGACCTCAATGTGAATTGCACTATCAGAAACATCATGAATTGTGTAAGAATTAAGATTTGACATTCTACTTCAGTAAACTTAATAGTGTCAAAGTTGCACTTCGAGAACATTATTATGCAAAACGTCAGCAATCCAATCTTTATCAATCAACAATACTGCCTACATAATTTGTATAAATTATAGGTACAAACAATCACATATAATTTGTTTGATTCAAATTAAAACTATGATCATACTTCTCATACATATATTTTTTTATATTATTTTTGAAGAGTCACTCACTTGTTAAGATTAGTAATGTTGTTTTCAAGAATATTTATGACACCTCTATAACTAAGGTGGTGGTTAACTTTGCTTGCAACAATTGCTTATCGTGTGAGGATATTAAAATTAGTGACATTGATCTCATATGCAATAGAAAGGAAAGTCATGCTACATTTGTGTGTTCTAATATGAAGCTCAAATTTTTGAGCAAACTCAACTCTTTTATGTGTAAAAATTATGTTTAAGTTTATATTTTAACTTGACCGTATGTATAACACTTTTAGAGAGGAGTTAATGATAATTACATAAATGTGTTATGAACGAAAATATATCTTAAAGTGAAATTTTGTTACTCATCATGGATTTGTATCAGTGGATTAGTGAATTTTTAGAATTATAAATGAGTTCAAATGATAACAAAATAAGTTGAAAAGAGAACGTATTCCATTCGATACATTAAATATACAGAGTTCTTACAAGTTGCTAAAAGCAAGTTTGTTGAAGAATTTTGAGTAAAAATATTTGGAGACTTCAAAATTAAAACACTTAATTATATAGATGATAAACGGCAAAATAGAAAAATTAGATATTCTTCAAATTAATTGCTTTTCTTTTTCTATTAGTCTTGTGGTCTTAAGTATTTCATTCCACTTTCTTGAATTATGTTGTACTTCTTATCTCAAAAGGGTAATTAACAGATATTAATACTAATTAAGTTTTTATCAATCATTAAAATCATACAAATTCAGAAAATTAACATCATGTATCCTAATAATTTTGAAGTTAAAAGTAGAATTTTGACCAAATATTTTATAGTCATATTGTGTGTATAAAGATGATTGCCTTGGTTAAAATTAAAGTGTAATTGGAAGCTACAACTACATTAATAATCTAAGAGATTAAAAGAAACTTTTTTCATTAAAACATATATATATATATATATATAAAGTTAAGTGCAGATTTAAATAAATTTTTTATTCTAATATGTTAATTATGATAAAATGCCATTATCATTAATTAAAATATTATAAATTAAACAAGATAATAAAATTGTATTAAAATTATCAAATGAAAATTCTGTTACTTTCAGTCTCCAAATTCTTTGCATAACTGAGAAAAACAAGATGAGTATATTTACATCCAAGAGAAGACATAATTTGGAAATCATTTAAAATTTTATGTACTGCAAATTTTAGAAAGCTCAAAAGTAATTAAACTTCTCTCAAACGTTTGATGATCCATCAGGGCTAGTAATTTTTGGCAATGAAGTGTCATGATCTGTATCTGCAATTTGATGCTGTTGAATGACGAGTACAGATGATACGACGTCGTATCCTGGAGAAGCTAATAGGTCACCTACAGGTCCCAACTCTGCATGCTCTGGTTGGTGGTGGTCGGCGAACTTTGCCTCAATATTTGCCGGAAACCTCCCGTTTCCTACTATTATTAGCTCATAATCCCCACTTCGTCCGATCTCCAATATTTCCTCTTTAATATTATTATCTCTTTTCTCTTTGTACTCCATTATAGCCTCCCATTTACTCTTGAATTCACCAATTATCTCATCATCCTCGACGAAGGAAGGACTTTCCGGTCCCATATCGAAAATAATCCTTAAAAGGGTAAGTTTGACTCCAGGATGTTCAACCATTCTTCCTGCCAACTCCAAGGCCTCACGATCATCTGGTCCACCAAAAAATACAACGCAAATATTCTGAGTGATGATAGTATTAGGGCTAGGAGTTTGATTCGCCTTGTTTCCAAATCCACGATCAACAAGAACTCCAACGGAGCAAGGTGCATGTTTCAAAACTCTCTGATTCACCAATCTCCACCCATGTCCCACATTCTCTATGCTCTCATCATCATCGCCTTTCCACTGTTTATGAAAAGGCAAAATGATTATGGCCACCCTTTTAGTATCAGCCATTTGGCAAATATCTTCATGCATGGTGGATAAAGAAGAGATTTCCGTAATGGGTCGGACGGAGACACGACCCAATTGACTGTAGGCTTGGAAGGCACCTGTAACTTGGTCATGCCAGGCTCCACGGCGAAAGCGGTTGATGAATGGGAGGCCGTTTTTACGAGCTCGTTGCACCATGATAATGGAAGATGAGCGTTCTGTGAGTTCAACAAGGTGCATAACGAAGAGCTTGAGTTGGGATTTTTTGGTGCTCCGAGTTGACTCAATTAGGGTAATTAGAGAAGGTACGTTCTGGAGACCATGAAGGCAAGCCAAGATCCTAAGCTGGTCTTTGGGATTCTTATTGGCTAACTTACGATGCTTATGGCTCAAATCAGATTTGCCACCATTACCAGGTCCTTTGTAAATAGCCATTACAGTTGGTGTTGTGATGAAGGTGGTGAAAAGTGCCATTAGAACTAGAATAGCAAAGCTTTCCTCATTAAGCACCTGTCATTTATTATTTATTAATAATTATATCATAAATTAACATATAAATGCGGTTATATATATATATATACTGTAAGGTCTCAATTTATAAATAAATTTTTTAATAATTAATTTCAACACGAGCACAAATCTGCTCAAATTAAAGAACATGAGCATAAGTCAAGGGGTAGGTGGGTCATGGATTTCTTTTTTGTTTGGTTTAAAGACCAGTAGATTTAGTTCAAATTTAAACAGACAAATACTTGCATACATATATATATATGTATATATATATAGGCTCTGGTAATATGTTATTAATAAATTATATATATGTATATAAGGAGGAACCAACATTGTCACAAAATATTTTTTAAAGTAAATTTAATTTGATAATATACATATATATACTTCAAAATAGAGACTTAGTTTTAGTTTATTACAAAAAAAATCTCAATAGATTATACAATTTAATCTCAATTTAAGAAAAAAACATTGTCCCATTTTAATCGAAAAAATTTAATTGATTACTTATATATTAATACATCTTCATTTAAATATATATATATAATTATTTATTTAAATTTTTAGTTTAGTATAAACTTTAAAATTATAATCTATATAATTTTTTTATTATAATATATAATTTATTATGTACATCTTCTATTAATTCTTTTTATGTTTTTATATTTTTACTAAGAATTCTTTTTTCATAAAATACTTTTGACATTATTTTCTATATTCTTTTTTTGAAATTATATCTTATAGCACAGTTTTTAAAAATCTAAATATATTTTTTAATAAAATTTTAAGTATATAGGTGTTTTAAAAATTAATAATTCAATTAACCAAAATAATAAACTGTAAAAGTTGACGGAAAAAAAAAAAAAAAACTAATGCAGATTAAACTCAGTGACTCACCTTCTTCTCCTTGCCAATATTGAGAACGATGAGCTCCACCAGTCCTTTGGTGTTCATGAGAAAACCCAGCGCTAATGATTCTCTGGTACTCATCATAAACATCATCGCCACCACGAACGTTCCCATAATCTTCCCTATGCACGCCGTCGATATAACCAGAGCCAGCAACCCCCACGCCCTCCCTCCTCGAATCTTTGACACATCCGTCTTCAAACCACTCGACGCAAAGTAAAGTGGCAGAAGCAGACTGCTCACAAAATCTTCTATTCGCTCCATTAATCTCTCTGCAAACTCTC